ACATGACAGACAGACGGACAGACGGATCTTCCATAGCGCGCACGATCTTTAAAAGCTATACAAAACGCTCGCAACACTTCATTATATAAATTTTGGTTCTACGAAAATGTGCGAAATTGTTTTCTTTATCGATCTGTCGCGAGGATTTTGGAAATACGGCCAAGGGGAAAAGTTGTCAGCGAAAAAGAAGGAAATCCTTAGCCTTTTCTTTGGCTGATTTTTTGATTATCGACTGTTTCGAGGCCAAAGTTGATGAGTTAAACTTTCAACTCTATTGAAAGTTTTCCACTGGTTTTAGAAGTTTTAGAAATGTTAACTATCATACCATTTGACATTGTCGACAACGACCGACCGGTGGTTTCTGAAAAAAAAGATGGCAAATTGGAAAGCAATTCATTTTGTCAGAGTTTAGTTAGAATCAACTATAATAATTTTGCTGTGGTCTCTGTCCGTCCGTCCGTCTGTCCGTGTGAAGCCGAATTCAACTCGAGGGGGAAGGGAGCTAGGGCTTAGCTCTCTTCGGATTCGGATAGAGCGCGGTCAGAAACCCCCAAACTGATAAAGAAATTATGAAAAAGTTCTAATTTTAATTATTAAAATTAGCTTTGAAAGTTTTTCCATAGTAAAAGGGGTGGGGGACGGAGGTTGGGGTGATTTTGGACATAGTGAGCCAGGTCGCGCGCCTTTCGTGGATGAAAATTTTCATGGGGTATTTCATTTCTGTTATTTCTCCCAAGTTCCCGGTCGGTCGTTATTTTTGTTTTTTTTAAGGGAATTTCGGCTAGGGGAAGTATCTTAAAGCATCGGGAAAGTATTTAGGTAGTTTTTGAAGGGGATTTCGGCTATGGGGGTATTGATAGAGGTGGGAAAGGATGTGGTGGAGTGGGACATGTAGGGTAGCCCGAAGGCCAGATGGTTGCAGTCGCGAAGCGACTGTAACCATCTGGTTAAAATATATATAAAGTGGCATACATTGGAATGAATCGTCAAGAAATGGCATTCCCCTCGATAGTTGCTGATCACTTTTCGAAAGTATTCATCCGTATCACCCTCCATCCAAAACCTCGTCGTCGCGCCCAACGACCGGAAGAAGCCGCTCACCTGAATTCAACCGTCACCTCATTTCTCTTCACCATTATAAAGGCATTTTGGGGTGATTTTTTTCGTATCTCGGCTCTTTTCAGACTTACAGACCCGGCAAGGATACCAAAATGTAACTCTTGCTCTGTAAAATAAGGCTACAGCGCATTTGAGTCAAAAAAATAGCGGAAAATAAAAATATTTGAGTTTAGAATCTTGGTACATCAAAGGATAGCGGCTTAATCTTTTCAACCCTCAAAATACTGTAAAAAATTTTCTAGCAATTTTTGCCGCAAGGAAACAGCTTTTTTTATCGTAATTCGACGACGGCGAACACGTTGAGATACTCCGCGCATTGATAGGACGTATGGCTGAAAAGTTGCGGCGGGGGGGTAAACTAGAGGGTAGCCACTTTGGGGCCTTCGATATTGCCGGTATTGCAATACCTCAAATGCAGCATCTTCTTCCATCCTTGGCCTCTTCCAACCGTAGTACTTTTCCAGAGCCTGTAAATCATACCTTTCATGTTCGTTCTTGGTTCCTCTAATCTCTCTCTCTCTCTCTCTCTCGCTCTCTCTTTCTCTCTCTCTCGCTCTCTCTCTCGCTCTCTCTCTCTCGCTCTCTCTCTCTCTCTGTCTGTCTCTCTCTCTCTCTTTCTATATCTCTAACTATCTCTCTCTTTCTATCTATCTATCTCTCTCTCTCTCTCTCTCTCATTACAGTGTGTCCGAGACAATTTGTTCCAGACGTTGGGTTCGACCAGTCGTTGGGACACCATGTATGTGACTGACCGTGGGATTCGGCTCGAATATAGCAGAAATGTCCTTGATAGTACGGCTGAGACGAGCAAAAGTGGCCATAAATCCATTGAAATCAATCGGGTATCGGCTGAAAAAAAACGAGAATTTTAACAGAAGCTAACTGAAGAAAGCATTCGACCAAATTTCCTTGCCTCAAAATATACGAATTATTACGGGGGGGCCCTACGCACAGGGCACTCGTTTCACCGGTAAAGGAAAAAGGCCTGTAGACAGCTAAACGCAAGATAACGGACCAAAATATCTTTTTTCGATGAAAATACAGTTTTTAGCTTGATTCTAAGGTTTTAGCCATTTTTTTGCGATTTCTCGACGGAATTGGAATTAGCATAGTCGAATTAGTCAGCCTTGACCGATTTTACAAGCTAATCCGGTTATACGTCGATTCTAGCAATTTTTTTGCCGTACGTAACCTTACCAGTGAAACGAATGCCCCTGTGCGTATGCCCCCCTACCCCCCCCCCCGTGAATTATTTCCCGATGTGTATCAGTGTAATCGCAAGTATTTTGATTGTGTTTAGGAATATTTTTTTGCATTTAACCGATAAAGTTATTTAGACAACATCCAAAAATTCAAAAAATTGCTAATTTCGATTCGAAGGCTATATTTTTGCGTATAATAAACTTTCGAGCAATGGTAAAACGGGGTTGCGCACGGCGGGAGTCGAACCCGCGAAATCCTGTTTTCCGTACAGGTGCTCTTCCGCTGAGCTACACGCGTCCCGAATCACCATCGCTCGAGACCGAGGATCAGGGAAAGGATGGGCTGATTCACGCCATGGCACTCTGCCGTTTCCGGGGCTTTTCCCCTCTCTTGCCAATCCTTTACAGTATTCTTAGGATTAATTTTTTTTAGTTAAATTTGATGAACTCTTAGGACAGGCGCCATACCTGGTAAACGTGTCACTGTGGTCGCGCACAACAAATAAAGACTGAGTCTGACTATCCACCACGATCTCGCACCGTACCCCAGGCCATCTCCGGTAGTCTATATCATCGTAATTCGCGAATATCAGCCGAGCAGCCCGCACCACAATCTGCAAATACAATTGCCAGCATCTACTTTGAGCCCCCGATTTATTTGAATTGATCAAAGAATCTCTGCTCGCCCCCCCTTCCTCATCGTAATTCAAAAGAAACAAACTTTTTGGGATTGTGCCGTCGCGGGCTGGCCATCTTCTTGTTCTTCTTTTTCTTCGATTGTTCTGCCGAAACACGCGGCATATTCTATCCTTTTCGGCATCATATATCGACGATCAATGGCATTTCTGCAAGAATATTATTTGATTAACATGACCTATTTAGAGGGATAAAAGAAGCGATTTGATCTCTATAACTAATACCTGAATCGTCGATTGACATGCCGTAGAATGAGATAATGGCTGAATGATAGTTGATCGAGTAGTAGAGAGATCTGATCATCCGACAACCCATCTACAGCAAACATTTTATCTAGAATAATTGACGATTATATATAGAGAGACAATTCAGGGGAACGTTAAAGTAGTCGCAATTACAAATAGAGGTATTTGACCTGATTCTGGCCTTCCTCTATAACATCTGCCACCATGGGTGGTTAGTAATTTCCTATGTTGTTTATCTTATCATCTTTTAAATTGTCTCTGTGGCGCGCCAAGAAGTTTTTTCCACCATCTGATCGGTCGGAAACGATAAGGTTTTGGGACCTTAGCATTCTGAGTTTTGAGCGAAACACAATGCTTTTACAACGATAGAAAGAATCTTTCCCACTGACGTGTTGGGCGAAAAGTCGCGATATTTTTATATCATTTTAGTGAGGATTAGTCGTTTGCACGTTTAGAATAGTAAAACAAAGGTTTCGAAACATTTCCGCTGCGTATATTCGAAAGACTGGAAGTTGGTTTCCCCCTACTAAAAGTCAAGAACCTATGATGAATTTGAAAAATGAGGTTAATATTGCTAATAAATCGAGGCAGTGGTCATCAATCATTCCATGGTTCTTTGGCATTATCGGGGGGTACCGAATTTTTTCTAAGATCAAACTTTGCCAAATATAAATCTCACCAAAAAATCTAGATTTTTCGACAAAATGGCGGATTTTTGCGGCAGTTGCGATTTTTTGAAGTTTTAAGATAGCTTTTCTAGCTAAAATCTAGCTATCAATTACTAAAAACACTATTAAAACAATTTCTGTAAAGTTACTAGGCATTTTTAGACCACATAAAAAAGTTCGGTCCCCCTGATAATGCCAAAGAACCCGATAAAAATATAGGTTGACGAAAGAGAACATTTCAACCCAACATTCCCATTCAAAAGTTTATTTCGGGAGTCGACACAGATACACAATACGAATACCAGAGAGATAACCGGTCCACCATCATTTTTCCTAAAAACCCTTATTCCTAAAGGCCATTTTTCCTACGAGCCGCTTTTCCTAAACCCGGATATTCTGTAGCCCTTATTCTAAAATAGAATTTACAGATCCACTCACAAATTGAAAGATATGCCACTTATTGCTTCGCCTTTTGACGAGAGTATTTAGGGCTCGTGTTCGCCATTTCAAAGTTCTGAACAAAATGTGAACCTTTTTTACAGGCTTTTTCGGCTGTAAGTAGAGATGGGCAGTGCAAAAACATATCAAAGAAGCCCTTTTCCGTTGCAAAAGGTTCGATTTGAATTGTGAGTGGTTCTGTAAATTTGGCTTTGGAACAAAGGGCTACCGAATATCCGGGCCCAGACAAAGCGGCTTTCAGAAAAAATGGCCTTTAGAAACAGAGCTTTTAGAAAAACAAGGCCTTAGCAAGAGAGGTGTCCAAGAGACGACCGGCAATCAGAGACTCGTATGACAGAGAGACACAGGCATAAGGCAGACAATTAAGACGGCACGAAGAACGGTGGCTGATACATCAAATTAGACAATCAGAGTATGGAATCGAAATTAGGCGGCAGTATAAAGAGAGGCAGCAAATACAATATCCCTTTTGATTGCCGAGGACACTTGTTCCATCTTTTCGAATAGAGCCGGATCCCCGACGATACGGGCCGCGTTTCGCACGTCTTTGCATACCTAAAAAGGGTAAGTGTTATCCATTCTCTCGCGATGACGCTCAATCTTTTCCCTGGATGGCGGAAGAGGAGCAGTTGTAAGTGTGTTGTGCTCTCTCAGCATTCATCGCACAGCCAATCGCCAGGAATGCCAGGAAGGAACGCAAACAAGAATGGCAAAATAAAGCCACTCAACTCGCTAAAAGGTAGCATTTCTTTCAAAAAACATCCGTGGATCAGAGAAATGGCCAATTTTCATGATTTTGCTATCAAACGACAGCTCTCGACGAGGCGAGGCAGATCCCTCCTTTCTATTGATCATAAAATCACAAAAATTGGACACTTCTCCAGACTTCTAAAGCAAAAATGATGATGCCGTCGGAATAGGCGCAAGAATTCCCAAACCGTGGTTTTTTCGCCAGAAAATCCGCCGAAATGCCAGCCTTTTCGCTAAAAAGAAACGTGTACATTTTCGTCTAGCCTAGAAACGCCTGGTAACTTTACAAGAAGTATTTTATTAGCGTTTCTAGTAAAATATAAACAGATTTCATCGAGAGAAACTATCTAAGACCGAATCTATCTGGAAAACTGGAAATTTGACGTTTTTGGTGGGAAAATCAATATTCTTCGTTTTTCACAGAAAATTTTAAATTTTTAGGTTTAGGAATAGCAAAAATAAAAGGGTGTGAAAACACTCTATCTTTATTAGAGAAAATGGGTCCTGAGAAAAAAAATGTATTCCCCCCCCGATAATGCCAAAGAAACCTTTTCTTTTTGTAGATACAAATTCGACGATGCTGAGAAGATTGAGGGTGACGTTGATGAGAAGAATGAAAAGAGATTGGCCGACAAGGAATTGGTACTCGTCGTGAAACAGCGATATGGAAGAGAAGATGGATATCAGAGTCCATGGCAATTCCCAGAAATATCCACGCGACAAGGAGAACCCCTCAGACAGGTCAATTTTCGCTTCTTTCGCATTATCGGGGGCTAAATTTTTCCCTAAACGTAAAAGTTTGATAATTTTGATTAAAAACACAAAAATCTCGGTTTTTGAGCAAAATTTCGACTTTTTGCACTTTTTCAAAGTTTTTCTGGTGGAAATACTGATTTATTCCATTAAAAAACATTATGAAAGTGTGTTGTATTAGGCATTTCTAGACTAATACAAAAAATTGTCCCCCCCCCCCGATAATGCGAAAGATCCAGCACTTGTTACCGTAATATCAACTTGTTGTTGTTGTTTTTCAGAGTGCGGAACGTTGTGTGGGCGAATTGTTGATGGGTGATGTATCTATTCAAGGAAATGCTCCAATATCTGTCTTTACCCTTCGGTATTATTCCTGATGCAAAATGATAGAAAAGTGATTCTTTTTAGATATCCCAAACCGATGGCCGATGCAAAGAAGAAAAGCGGCTCCAAAGTCTTTTTCTACAATGCCATTTTGGGGGCAAAGACGGCTATCAAATTGAATACAACAGAGGTACCAATAATTATTCTTTCTAGATTTTTCGGTTCTTGTGCATTATCGGGGGGGCTACTTTTTATCCGATTTTTGAATGGATCCAATTTTTCAAATAGCTATTTGATAACGGATGGGTTTCTAAACCGTTTTTTACTATTTCCATGCTTAAAACTATACAAATTTTGGTCGAAACATACCAAAAATCGGCTTTTTACTATTTTTCGCTCAACAAAATGTTTTTTTTTGGAAAGCTTGTGGATAGTTTTTCGCGTTGAAATATAGTTTTGCTGACTAAAAACACTATTAAAATACTAATTATTGAATTAGCAGGCATTTCTAGCCGTGTACAAGCCCCCCGATAATGCAAAAGAACCTTGGTTCCTTTTCAGTTTCCGGAATACGCGTGGGTGTCAGCGGAAGAATTTGTGAAACGAGTTCCGGGCACCAATTATCGATCAGCCGTCAGAACATCCTTCCTCCAATAAATATCCGCCAATCGATATTTCGTGATTAGTTTGTAGTTGTTGATGTTTTGATTGTTTTGCTCGTGGCTGTGTGGCTGGATAGAGGTGCCTGTCCGGAAATCGAGACTTGAATATGGCGCAGAGGAACACTAAAAGAAGATATTGGAATGTGGTATTGGAGTGATTAGCTTTGTAAAAGCAATTCGAAGGCTGTTCATTTTGAATTAAAAGGCGGTTTCCGAGTCAACCGAACGACCCCGATACTACAGGGTGCGGAGAAAGTTTTGGGTGGCAGAATTGGTTGTTTTCTCCAATTGCGTGCTCCAGCCTGGATTTTTTTAATCTGCTATATATAAATTTCTAATGTCCGTACGCCCGCCGACCGGGAATTCAGCCAAATTTTGCATTCAAATCCAAAATTCGAACTGTGGGGGGGAGGCCAGCGCTGAACACCCGCGTAGCGGGGGGTCAGCGCTGGTGGTAGTCTAAAAAATGGCAACTTGAGAAACACTAGGCACCAACAGATCAACAAAATTTTTGAAATTTTTGGGAGTAAATGCACTGAAAGCGTAGCGCTAAAATCACCGTCGGCACGCAGTGTTTTTGCTGCTCTTACCGTATGCCCTGTGCACCATTCTTGATCAAAATTCACGAGATTTGGTCAAGATATTGCCAATCCTATCCGCCATCACCCCATAAAATTACAAAGTCTCTGGATTTGAATTCGGAAAGTTTTGGCGCGTTTTGATTCTGAGCAATTCCCCCTAGCGGCAGGGGGAAACAGCTGCGAAGCTGAAGGGCTCACAGCCCATAAACCGCGAAGCGCCACATCCTACCTTATATAATTTTGGCGTGTATCTCTGTGTGTGTGTGTGGATGTCACTTTCGAGACCCGATTTGAGGGCCTTCCCGTGTCCAAAATGCCCTAATTCACCGTCACCCGGGGGAATCGACCTTTCTGATTCCGATGGCGTTTTCAGAATCCTATGTCTACTAATTCGAGAACTGGGTCGAAAAATGGTACCAAGCTAGTTTGGGCGTCTTTGAAAAGCTATTGGGGTTGGAAAGTAGCTCGCTGGCTGACTTATCTCAAGACCAGTGGAAAATGACCGCTTCGCGGCCCTTTTCCACTGGCCCCCGTCTAGGAACCATATATTCCCCTTCCGTTTCTCAAGCCTGCGGCGCAAGAGCCTGACTCTAGGGACCATTCTCTGGCCTGCGGCGCTAGCTATTGGTTTGGCCTGCGGCTGAAGGTTGAACCCCCCCCTGCCTGCGGCGCTAGAGCCCGGGCCAAGGACCTTTTCTTCGGCCTGCGGCGCCGAGAGCGAGGGACTGGCCTAAATTTCGTATACCGAGAGCCTCGAAATATGTTTTGTTGTTGAACTATCTGAAAGCAAAAAGGTAAATTTGCCGAGGATCCGAACCCTCGTCTATTTGCGTGGTAGACCGGGCGTCAAGCGGTGCTTCCAGGTTATCGGGGGTCGGTTATTTTAGCGGGGGTCAGTTGGCATCTTCTTTTTGTTTAGCCTATACCTGGCTAGTGATAAATTGTAGTTTATTTTAATACTGTTTTTAGTAGCTTCCGGTAATCAAAAAGTATAAAAATTTTTAGCCTATAGTCACGAAATCTAGGGTTATAGCGCGGTTTTAGCCATTTTCATATACGTTCGACCAAAAAAGAAAAAATTTTTCTACAGGTTTTATGACGTTTTTCTTAATGTCTCCTCCCCCGCTAACAGTCCAGAACCATTTCAAACGGCGCACAATTCTATAAAAACAACCAGCTTTTAATTAGCCGAACCGCACGATATTATAGAAAAAAAGTTCGCGACCGACCCCCGCTAAAATAACCGACCCCCGATAACCTGGAAGCACCCGTCAAGCCACTATACCAAAGGGGGGATGGGGATGGGCGGCGGGAAAGGCCTCTTCTGTCCCGGGGGCCGGTTCATCCCGGGAGGGAGGACTTCTGGTAACTTTACAAAAATAGCTTTTTTAGTCTGAATGCGCCGAAAATTTGCAAAAATAATAAGATGCGCGTGATCCCCACTATCGAATACATAAGTGTTCCAACTTACAGACCGAAATTCGATCCGGGCTTCGAGTTATGGCCCGGACACCACGGCTCGTAGCCCATTTTGTTAAGGATTTTCACCATTTTGGTTGTAAAATCGTTGAATTACGGAATTTCGCCAAACAAAAAAAATATGTTTCTGGCGAATGTGTTTATCCACCTCTATGACAAAAATCAGCTCGAAATTCGGCCTGACGGCCGAGGAAAAGGCCGCACAGAAAACACACATACTTTTCTCGCTTATAGGGTAGGATTTATTCTTATTATTATTTCAATTATTAGACCAAGAACATTTGCCACTTACCTTTGCCATAAACTTCAATTCGGAATCTTCGCGCCTTTGAAGTAACCAACTTGTTAAAGTCAAGCTTTTCTGGCTGAAATGGGGGCAATATTTGAGTCTGAGAATAAAAAGAAGAAAAGGAGGGGGAATAAGCTGCTCATTGTTCTTACACCGAGTCGTTTTTAGGTAATCTTGGAGTTTTGCGATGTGACATAGCGCTCATTCGATAGAGCTTGGAATTCTGAACAAATCCCATCTTCGGTCGCGGTAGGAAATTGGGCTCTCTACCGCAGACAGCCCAGCCCCTTCTTATCGCCTCTCCGCTTCCCCCTTCCCGTCTCTCCCTTGGCCTAGTGATCGAAGGCGCTGACCCAAGCTGGCAGTCAGGGTTCGGTTTTGTTCCGCGGCGAGCGCCTCGAATGAGCTATGTCACATAGAAAAATGCCAGGATCACCTAAGAGCGGCTCTTTATTCTTAGGAGAAGAAGAGCTTCTCAATCCTACCATCCATTTCGTCAATAATTCTACATCAGCATCCGTATCATCAAGAAATGTCATCATTCCATTATGAAGTGTTCGAAGGTGTCTTTCGTACTTTTTCTAAATACGGTAAGGGTCAAGATGAGTGTGTTGTAGTCTACCAGAAAGAATGGAATATCGGGATATCTGGCATCGTCGAATGGGTTACGGACTATCTGGCCAATCTTCTCATAAATCCACATTTCATGTAAATATCCCGATTGTTGTGGCCGAGATGGGCAAATTGCCAGCTGAAAATGAATGGACAATCTTCTTTTGAATGCATTCATCTTGCATCTCGTTGTCCAGTCCATCATAGTTGCACGAATTCGCGGGGGGATCAATTCTTTTCTTACGGCCTCGGTTGGCCCAGTAATTACAATAGTGTTTTATATTGTTTTTAATACGTTTTAACTAGATTGAAAGTAGAAAAACTTTCAAAAAAGTTAGAAAAATGTTTGCAAAAAAGCAACAGTATTTGGTCATTTTCGGTCGAAAAACAATTTTTCGACCTAAAAGGAAATTTTTAATGGAATTTTGTCCAGTTTTTATACTTAAGAATTGTTAAAAACAATGTAGAAACCACGGGCCGTCAGAGCGCGCATGAGCATGTAAAATATAGAGAGAGAAAATAGATAACTTACATCGATAAACGATGTGAAATAGTGGATGGATGGATATTTCTCATAATCCCAAGTCATCTCTAGTTGGGCTCTTTCGTAGCGTCCGACCTCTAAAATGTCAACGATCAGTTTTGCGTTAGAAACAATTTTCGTCTTATTCGATTCAATGTAATCTCTCACTTTTGTATTGCCAATTCCTTCCCCATCCTTCACTCCACAATTCTTTGCATTCTTCGCATTCCCATGGAATTTCTGAGCCGTATCGCTGAAAAATGACACATTTCAAGAGGCCTGAAAAGATGCAGGGCTGCTGTTTAGCACAAACTCTTTGCTGCGAAACTCTTTGCTCTTCGCCAATCCCACAATTCCAGTGGCCTGTAACATATGTCGAAATTCGATTCAATAAGCGAGAAAAGTAGGCCCGTTTTTTTTGTGCAGCCATTTCCCCGGCCGCCAGGCCCATTTTCCGGCTGTGTTTTTGCATGGAAGACTACAGGGTGGGTCAAAAAAAAAGCCAAGTTTGCGCCATATTATCTCGCGAACGGTAGAGAATCGAAGGTACGTTACCATGCCAGAATGCTTAAATATGCTGGGAATGAAGATTTACAAGACCGTTTGCGAGCCAACCGAACAGAGGCTGGCACAGCATTTTTTCGATCCTGTTTTTTCCACGCCATGTGAAAGAGCATGGTCGAATTAGTAGGACTGCATGGTTTTTAGATTTTTAAAAGTTCATTTTTGGGGTTTAAATGACCGTTAAAGTCGTTCACCCCAAAAAATTATCTTTGAAGTTACTGAACCAAATGTGCTGAATATTTGTGTCCATACCTAATTTGGCGCGGGGATCATTTTTCTAATACATTGCTAAGCCCGAAAATCACCGGAACATAGGAATCTCGCGTACTCAGAACAGTTTTTCAAAATGTTCTATTTTTTAGAGTGTTGCCTGTAACGTGAAAATAACATAGAAAGATGCGCAAAAATTTTCTGCATCCAGTGTTGTATTTTTTAGAGTGCAGTGAACACTCTAAAAATTGCAAAAATAATAGTTTCTTAAATGTGAAAGTAGCCCTGTACGTCGAAGACGCCTGCGTATTATAGAAAACAGACTTGTACATGCCTTCTTGAGATAATTCCCGAGCTAATACAAAAAATCGGAAAAATAAATTCCTTTTATAAGAGAATCTAACGAGTTACTGGAATCGAACTCGCGATGGCTCGCCTGGGGGGCTCTGGGGGACAGCCACTAGAGGGCGCCGCCGCCTCCCAGGCGAACGACCCGAGTTCAATTCCAGCCCCCTCTTAGAAGCCGAATTTCTTTTTGCTCTTTTTTGCATTCGCCATGATTTGGGCAGTAGATACAAATCTATGCTTTTCTCTCCACACCTGCACAAATTTTTTATTTTTGGCTGGAATCAAGGCCGTTTTTGCAATTTTTAGAGTGCTCACTGCACTCTAGAAAATACAACACTGGATGCAGAAAATTTTTGCGCATCTTTCTATGTTATTTTCACGTTACA